GCTAGAAGTGCAATTGAGAAACTAAATTTTTAATTTTAATCAATTTAAATCTAAATTTAATTACACACATATGGCTAAGTGGCTACTGTACAAACAGTAGGGCAAGTTCGAATCAAATATTTATTACACCAAAAAAGACCAAAACCACATATTTTACTAAGAGTCTGCCACCAGCACCACTCTTATACAGAAAGACAGGTATTTAGGTAGTTTTTAACTACTCTCCCTACCTTGAATACTTTTGCATAGTGGTAAATATGAGGCAAACAGAAGGAAAACCTTGCATAAAAGAAAAGACCTTAGCACCACCATTGAATTATTCTTAAGTGCTAGAAGGGTCCTTAAAGATCAATTAGTCTGATCCCTTCAAAGTCATAAAGCTGGGACCAGCATTCAGCTCTTTTGACTCACCAGACAACTAAACCATAAAGATTCCATCCTACACTGGCTAACTCTACACTGATTACATAAAAAGAACATGAAGTAGCAAGGAATCCTGGTTTTTACTCAGAGATTTCTCCTTGTCTGAAAGAACAAAGAGCTTCATTCTCCAGGTACTTCTGCAGTAGTATTTAAATTGCCAGTTGGCTTTTCTTGAATTAACAGCACCAGGGACCTATAGAAAAAAATTTCAGCAAACTGTGTTTTTTGGTGTCAATTACAAGGCAGAGTATCCCTCTCTTCCAGTCAGGAAAACAGTGTATGTTCATTGTCCTGGGAGTCCTTATCAGTATAAAGGATCCTAGGCTGAACTTATAGGTCAATGCCTTAAAAGATGGATGTACATATGTTTAAGGCTTTCTGGAAAATCATGTTTTGATACATTTAAATTAAATTAATGGTAATGAAACATTCTTGTTTTTAAAAGTTCACTTGAAGTGAGAACAACATGGTTTTATTTTTTAAAAAACCATACCCCCAAGAATACACATGGCCATCTTCTCTGTCAACAAATAATACTTAAGTCAGGCTGGAGCCATTCACTTAGTTTCAAGCTGCATTTGCTATTTCAGATCACCAACATGCTACTGATTAAGACAGCCTGTTTAAAAATAGAATCGCTGACTAAACACCATATATCTGAAGGCTCAGACTTAGGCCTTTTCTTGTTGGTCCTTTTGTAACCAGAAATGATAGGTTTGGTTGCCTGTCACAACAAAAACAAACTCGTAAGACAGGTGACGGTGCAAAAGGAAAAAGTTTATTCAGGTGATGTGACCTGGGAGAACAGTGGACTGCTGTCTCAAAAACCACCTCCCCTTCCCTGCTCAAGCCCACAGTTCTTATAGAGATAGGCCAGGAAGGGCTTTCTTTTCTACCCAATTATCTTGCTAGCTTTTGGTGTGCTAGGGCGCTGTCCATTCATCTTTTTAGCTTTTGGCACGCTTAGGCCCTATCCATTGATCTTTCTAGCTTTGGGTGCACTCAGTGTAAGAGCCTCCCCCTGTACCATCTTGTCGAACGGGTGAGACACTTCAGTGTTCCCTGCACTCCCTGTCTATGGTAACACTTTCACCTCCTAGTCCATTAGCATATGTGGTGCTCTCTCATACCTTCAAATTCTGGCTCTTCCAATGACTAAGCAAGTTGTTTATGTCATCAATCCTTTATCACCTTAACTGTAAAGTGGAGACAGTGGTACCTATCTTACAACATGAAATGAAAATATATGTAAAAAGCATTAGCACAGTGTTGACATATAGAACACACTCAAAATGAGCTTCATTTCTAAGTCTTGTGCCCTTGCTTTCCGTATTCACATGCCAATATCCCCCACACACACACAAAAAAGGATTAAAATTAGAAATTTTTCTATGGGAAGATTCTTCCTTCTAATAACCAACAATCCTATTGTTTGTATATACATTATTTATTTTATTATAAATTTATTAGTAATTTATATTTCATATTGTGACTATCATATACCAACTTCTACTATAGGCTCATTGACAGAAAGTAGCCAGAGAGACAAGAATAAGATATAGAGGTTAGAAGTGATAATTATTCCCATCTGAAACTAAACCCCACCTTCTCTGCATGTCCAAGTCTGAGCTTTCATTCAAAAAAGCTGCCACCTGCATTTAAACCTCTAATCCAAATTGTTCCCCCTTCCATGAAAATCTAGCAGATTCACTGCGTGAACTACACACATTTCACAGAGATGAAACTATGTTTATCTTCATGACCTTTGAATATGGGAATCAAATACCAAACTTTTAATATAGGCTTTATTCTTATGTTTTGGTCTGCCCTAAGGTATTAAAATCTTAAACAATTTAATTTTAGAACTATAATACATAATTAAAAGAAGAAACTAAACTAGTATTTCCATGGAAAATTTGCAAGCAACAGTGATTTCTTTTATTCACACAAAACATTCTTAATGCACCGTTAGTAATATTAATCCACTTACATGCAGAAGGCACTTTACAGATTCCACTCCAAAGTAATCAAACATCTTTTCTCTCTCTCTCTCTTCTAAACTATTACAAGGAGAAGTACGAGAAAGTTTTAAATTTATAGGTCAATACAGTCATAAATATTTTAATTCTGGCTGTATCGAAAAATGCTGCTATAGAAGGGATTTGCTTATGAAAGTTGCTGACTTAGCAGCAATTAAACAGTGGTTCTTAATCCTTTAGGGAAACAGACACTCCTCTGAGTATCTGATGATTAAAATATCCATGGGGGCCCGGCCAGGAGTGGCTCAGCAGTTGAGCGTCCACCTGGGATCCAGGCGATCCGAGTTCGATTCCCGGTCAGGGCACATGCCCGGGTTGAGGGCTTGATCAATGACTCTCTCATCACTGATGTTTTTCTCTCTCTCTTTCCCTCTCCTTTCCTCTCTCTGAAATTAATAAAGATATATTTAAAATATATATATATATCCATGGGCATTTCACATTAAAAAATATATATACACACACACACATATATGTAGTATCCCAAAAAAATGTATACACACTTAACAGCTGGTAGCTCAATTGATGCTTCTTTCTTTTCAGATATAACCCACTGGAATTAATAATTATTCTAAGTGTGTATACATTTTGGGGGGACACCCTGTATACAGCCAAAATTTTGTGTGAGATTTTATGGTTTCATGCCCCATCCCCAAGCCTATACACATACCAAGTTAAGAACTCTTGCAATAGGAAACAACCGGGGAACTCATTAACATTGAAAAAAATTTCAAATTTAGAAATGATTCAAAGTAACTAATATTCTACTGATTTGCAACTTGTTCTTATAGTTAACAATTCTGGGAGCGGTAGTAGAAGGTAGTAGAAGGCTTGAAAAGGAAATGAAAGAACTGAAAAATTAAGAGTAATTTTCAGAGGAGATGGAAGAATGACTTGGGTCATCTCTCAATAAAAACCCTGCTTAGTTTATAAAAAGAGAGAGGGGGTGGGGGAAAGGGAAGGCAGGGGAGGGAGAGGGAGAGGAGGAGAGAGTGAGAGAAGGAGAGAGGAACAAATTTAAGGGAGGGAAGAACAAACCCATAGAAAGAAAACTCAATCTTTCTTGGTCAGCAGTATTCCTGAGATGAGTGTGAGGCCGTAGACTACAACAGAAATGGTTTGACTCCAAGTACAAATTTTGTTCACTATAGACAGAAGAGAGAATCTCTGACCTTTCCGTTCAAACATGCCAACCACTCCTACTTTGCAAACTGTTAGTAAATGTTTTACTTCAAGATTGCATTATTTCAGCAAGTGATCACAACATGCAGGACAGGCAATCCTGGCCTACCAGCCACTTGTGAATCTGTCCCCACTTTCGATCAAAGGAATGATGAGAATGCTACAAATGCGAAAGATTCATAAACTGAAGATTTTCCAAGTTACTGCATTCTCTGAAAAGTCCTAATCATATACATTGCCCTGAAGGGCAATGATTGTTGACTCAAAGTTACACATTCAAAAGAGAAAATTACTAAGCTAAATATGTTCAATAACGAGAGACCTCTGGTTGTCTGTAGTTTAGATGACCATAAATAAACCTTATATTTAATAATTATCTCCTTATCATTGACTATAATTTTAGGAGTTTAAAAGACAATGCATTGTAACATTTTCATTTCAAGCCAAGAATTCAGTATTTGAAACGACATATGAGGTTAAAAAATATTACAACATATTGACTGTTTTTGCTTTTGGTTTGCAGCTGTAACAATACAGAAACTATACACTTCTATTTAATCCATTAGCAGAAAATCCACCACCAATATCAAAATAAAGTATTTAATACTATCCTGCAGGTTTTTCCCCCTTTGTATTAATACAGCATCAGAAATATTTTTTATGGGAATTTTCAAAGCTAGGTCAATGTCAGAAGGAAAGGGTAAAAAAAGAATATTTGTTTCATTTTTAAGCAGCCTAATTTTTATATGCCTATTTTTTTAAAAGTTGGCTTTGCTTTTCTTTCTGATGATAAAAGCGTACTGAAATTTATAGAAAAGCATAAGAAGAAAATAAAATCAGTAACCACTTCTTTCCAGTAGTTTTTGATCCTGTATATGGGTACCAGGTTTTTGTAACACAAAATTAGAGTCCTACAAGTCTTCCAGCTTGTTGTTCTTTTTCATTTTATTACATAAATATTTTCCCCCATTAATAAATATACTTAAAATGACTTCACAGTGCTTTACTACACAGGCATCACAGTATAAGTAACTGAAATTCTAGGACAGTTAGAACTATAGTAAATAACTTTGTCATCTCTAAGCATACTTTAGCTAGTAAGTTAAGCACTTATAACACTATAATAAACAGCTTACAATATTGTACATAGTAAGAGCTATATATGTGTTTGCTGTTATTATTTAAAACAAAAATTGCATTTAACTGGCCGACCTAGAATGGATTGTTAAAATACATAAAACAGGTTATATACTCTTCCCAGTGTTTCAAAGGGAACTATATTTACTGTAGAAGTAAACTAGCCAAGTATTGATTTTTTTAGACTAGCACAAAATTAGGGCTGTTCCCCTCAATTACCTCTTTTTGCTGTCGCTCCAGTTCTCTCATGCGTATATCTCTTGCTTCTGCCCGGGCGGCCCGTTTTGCTGCCAGCCTTGCCTCTGCCTGAAAAGTAATATAAAGATTCAGCTTCATTTAAAAACAGCAACCACCACTACCTCTACATCCGCTTGGAGGACAGGGCGCAAGTCAGACAGGACCTTCCATGGGCTGGGGGCTGCGGGGGGACAAGACACCCTCTATCAGCAGTGTGACTGACTTCAGTCAACTCCTCTACACTCGTTTCTCTCTCTAGTCCCAGAGACTCTCCTGAAATCCGGGGCTTTTTCTATTAACTGCTTGCCTTGATTACACATTCAAAACATTTCACACAATTCCTTACATGTAGTTCCAAATTTGCTTTTTCAGAATGTCTTTCCCTAGCAACTTAATCATACAAATTAGAAACATCAGAACCAGCCTCTATTTCATTTTGGGCATCGCCAATGTCCAGTCTCCAAGTATTGTCAATTCTCTACCACTGAGTTCTTGCAAACCCTTCTTGGCCTTTTTTACTTCACTGTTTCTGCTTGTTTCAGGAACTCTTCATATCTCTCTCTCTTTAAATTGAGATATAATTCACATATTATCAAACTCACCACTTAAAAGTATACAATTCTATGGCTTTTTAGTATATTCACAAAGTTGCACAAGTATCACTACTAATTCCAGTACCTGCCCACATGTACCATCTGCCACCATTCCTGGACTCTACTGTGCTCTATTAAGCCTCTCTGCACAGACCGCTTGCTTGGCAGGAGGTATTCTCTCTTACTCAGCTAAAATATTTCCTCTTTCATCAAAAATACTGTATGCACATGCCTCTGTTGTGGCTTTACTATGCTGCATTCAAGTTACAGGCTTCTGTCACCCCACAACTTGCATGCCTCTATGTCTACTAAGTAAACAAAAGAACTTCAAACCACTGGTGAAAGTCTCAAGGAAATGAGACAAGTAAATAGCTTGATGCACCACAAGAAACAAAAATCTCTCTGGTTTCTATCTTGTAGTGGTTTCCTCTGTTCTTGGTCACATCCTAACTCTGATTTTGATCTCCCCTTCTGATATCTACAGCAGTTGTTTCTTCTCATTTGTTAAAATGGTACCCAAGTCTCACACTAAGAAGTGATTCAGCCAATGTTTAAAAGGGTCTACTGTGTGTAAGCTATTACGCTAGATGCTAAGGATACAGAGTAAGATATGAAATCTCTGCCCTAAAGAAGTTCACAATCCAGTTGAGGGAGACAGAAACACAATGCAAGAGGGAGCAATTAAGTTTGCCTGGCAAGGTCACAGCAGGCTCCTAAGAGGAAGAAACAGTTTAATAGTTAACACTTATTCAATTACCCTATTTTGGCAATTTCCCAGTCTGCTTAACTGGCCTTTCAGTAGCAAAAACCCTACGAAGTAACTGCAGTCTACCAACCTCAGGCTCTAAACACTCACATGAATTTTACATTGGCCTCTATCTTTTAAAAATCTATACCCCCACCCTGGCGAGTGTGGCTCAGTTGTTTGGAGCGTCATCTGTACACCAAAAGGTTGTGAGTTTGATCCCCAGTCAGGGCACATACCCAGGTTGCAGGTTTGATCCTCAATCAGGGCGCATGCAGGAAGCATGCAGGATCAATGTTTCTTTCTCACACTGATGTTTTTCTCTCTCTCCCTTTCTCTACGATCAATTAAAAATAAAAATAAAAAACCTACACACCACCTTCTTTTTTGGAAAAAACTATGCTCTGCCTTCTTTATCCCTCTATGAGGGAGCATCACTTTATCACTAGAGTTTGTATTTTACAGAAAAAGACTACAAGTCTAAATTAATGCTTCAGCAGATAGCAAATATACTTCTAAATTACAAAGTATCATTTTTCCTGGGAAAAATTTTCAAACCTCTTTTTTTAATTTAAGAAAGGCATAACAATGTGTAGAATTTCCATTTCCATGTATATTAGTAGCTTTGTACTTGTAGCCTCCCTTAGAAATTTATCAAGAATGCCAATTTCATCTTTCTAACATCTGTGGCCAATTTTGCACAATAGATACTAAAATGGGACTCCCCTTACCAAACCGAAATTATAGATCATGGAAATCTATGTTCTAACAAAACTTCTTTCACAGCAAAAAGGAAAGAAAGCTGACTACTGAGCAACAGAAAGAACATGGAATTCAGAGCCACAAGAACACACTTTCTTTCCCTTTGTCACTTAGCCAACTTGATCAAAACTCAGATGCTACTTCTCTTGGACTGGTCTTGAGGAAGGCCACTAAACAAGCTTAAGAGATTTAAAACTACTTTATCTGGTTCTTTGGATACATTGCTACCAGATGCCTAAGGCCGCGCTGACAGTAGGAGATTTCGATCTACCAAACAAAATCTGACCCCAAAAAATTAGGTATAATGTTGATTCATTCATCATTGCGCTGGCTGTTGTCATTCTTTATTTGACTCTCTAAGGAAAAGGGGTCAGTGCCCCTGACTAAACAGTCAAGGTACTGCATGTTTTAAAAATTCTTGCAGCACACCGGTTGAAAATCTGAAAATCGCTGCTTACACTGGTACATTTTTACACAAAGCATACTTCTAGGAAGTAACACTAGCATTTGCCCTTCAGAATACAATAGCATGAAAGAGCTGCTACAGACTTCCCAACTCACAACATAAAATAAATGGGACATAACAATAAAGGACCATAAAAATTTACCTAAGTTCAAAACAAAGTTGGTTAAAAAATTAAACACCGAATTACCATTTGATCCTATAATTCCACTTCTGGGTACACAGACCATAGAACTGAAAGCAGACTGAAACAAATATTTGTATGCTAATATTCATAAGCAGCATTATTCATTAGGGTCAAAAGGTAGAAACAACACAAATGTCCATCAACAGAGGAACAGATAAACAAAATGTGTTAGATATGTGTACGAACAAGGAGTTGCTATAATAAATCATAAATTGCTTACTGGGCAGGTCCTGGTAGACAGTCATGCCCCAGCCCTGTAACTTCTTTGGTGAAAGGTTTTTTGTTGTTTTTTTGGTGAAAGGTTTTTAAGCAAGCCCTGTCTATTGTTCTTGCAAATCAAGGTGCACACACCTTTGAAATGCCAGAAGCAAGGCAAGATCTACCCAAGCCACTGGATAGTGCTTACTGTTTCCTTGGAATACAATCCGCAAGTGGAATTTCATTTGGGACTATTATTTGGAAGGGGAAAAAAGGCTATGTTTGTTTTTTCTAAAGTTTGATTCCATCATCCTAAGATTCAAAGGCAAGAGAATTATGTTATACAACAATATACAAATTTATATTGTTACATAACTTATAAATGCCATCCTTCCCAGGGGCTTTGCCCCAACTATCTGATCTTCTGTCTTCACTTTCTCCCTCTACTGGTTTGTTCTTCTCATCATAAGTAGGTTCAAAGTCTCTCCCATCATTTTTTAACTGAGGAAGTTTTACAGTTCCTTACCAAACATTGTAAATTCGTGTTTTTTATGTATCCACGGTTGATGCCATTAAACAAAATCTCTATTAAAAAAAAACAAAACGAACAACAAAAATCCCATCCTGGTTAATTTCTACCTTGCCTTCTCTTGATAGCCAACTTTTCTAGCACCTCCTCCTTCAGTTCCCACTCTCATCAAAAGACTGCATTCTGGCTTTTGTCCAAATCGCTTCACTGAAATTACTCAAGCAAAAGTAACTAATGACCTCTAACTACCAAAGTCAAAATTTTCTAGTTTTACCTCACTGGTCCTTTCTGGGCTTCCATCACTGACCACTCAGTTCCTTCTGAAAAATCTCACTTCTTGGCTTTCTGCAATGCTAGTCTTTCCTGGTTTTCCTTTTGCCTCTCTGACCTCTCTTCCTCAGAATCATTCATGGGTTCATTTTTCTCTGCTAGCTCCTTAAATTTTAATATAACCAAAGCTTCCTGGTTTGATCCAACTTTTTTTACTCTATGTTCCCTCTCTGGGTAATATTGGTAGTCTGCAAATCTTTATGTCCAACCCAGACTTTTCTCCCTCTGTCCTAATCTAACTGGCTCTTAAACACTGGGGCTGTGTTTTCCATTCCCCTACTTCACTCCAGCCATACTGAGCTATTATTCTGGCAGTTTGTCACACTGTTCTAGTTGTTTCACATCCCTATGCCTGTAGAGTGCTTAGGAAACAATACACAAAACCCCATAAAACAATGGAGAGCTTTTATATATTTTATTTCTTTAAAAGGATTTTATTGATTTTTAGAGAAGGGACGGGACAGGGAGAGAGAGAGAAACATCTATGTGTGAGTGAAACATCACTTGGCTGCCTCCTGCACGCCCCCTACTGGGGATTGAGCCCACAACCTGGGCATGTGCCCTGACCGGGAATGAAACCTCGATCTCCTGGATCATAGGTCAATGCTCAACCACTGAGCCACACCAGCTGGGCCTGCCTATCTTTTTTTAAAAAGATCAGAAACAACTGTCACAAAATGTTGATATCAGTTGGATGGTGGACTCACGGATACTTATATTATCAAAACCTCTCAGCATTTAATAATTTCCAAAAAGAATAACACATGAAAATGCACAAGTGCCTTTATAAAAAGGGAAACCTCTTGTTTCAAAACTTTTGCCTACTGTGATGTGATAGTTTTAAAGAGAGGCAAATTAAATTTTCATAATTTGACAGAAATGCACAGAACTGAACCAAATCTGGAATTGCCAGCCTGCACATATATCCATACTATAAAACACCACGCAACTGGCATGAGTAATGTAGGTATAATCTGGACCTTTCCAGGCTATGCTTTAATTTCAAGAAATCTGAAATACAAAATTCTAGAATGTGAAACATTCCCAGAAAATGACTAATTCAGGTAGCTAAGACTCAGAGTTTACTGTGTTTAATTATGTTTATTCTTTCATGGCATGTATGCCAAAAGAAGCCTGAAAGACAAATTAAGAGACATAATATTTATTGTGTTGCTATGGTTTCCAAATTAACAAATAAAAATCATCACTCAATTTCCTAGCAACATCCTTTTAGTAGAAAATCTTAGGTTGCATTTTTCCTT